AATCACTATGTACGCTTCCCGGTGCCGTGTTGATTCCGTCACGAAATTTCGACGGGTCATAACTTCTTCGTTATAACTCCGATTTCGACGCTCTTTATATTTACGGAAACCTTGTGACATATTCTACAACTTGGTTAAGATTATTTATTTTAAATAATCTTTTGTCGAAATGTCATTTTCAACCCCTATTACCTCTAAATTGACTAGCCCGGATCTACAGGCGTTACAATTATCTCCCCCTTAGGATGATTACGTCCCGGAATCATCAACGAAACATGGCTCGTATAATGACTCCATATGTCATCTCTTCATCCTAGCTAATAATTGTAACCTCTATATTCCTTCAAGTCTATCTCTTAGACTTATTGACTGTAAGCGGTACTCGATCGTGCACCTGCTGTTTACCTCAGGCTAGATTCCAAATTATGACCTTCAAGTCACAATCTCGATCCTTACTGGATACGAACTTGAGATAAGTTCTTTTATTACTACTATGGATCTATGTGTCATATTCTAATGACCTATCATCGTATGTTGCAACTCTTTAGACTTAGGTCTCTTAGAGTCAAACTCCAAAACAGAGTATACCTTCCTTCATGTTCTAATGTGATACAATCACATTTTAATATGTAGCATTTCTAGCTACCAACTTCTTTAACAATCATCACGATACTTCTACTGATCGCCCTGGGTTAGCTTTCTTTTCAATCTTTTGGTTTAAGTTAGATGCTACATCGAACTTGGTTCTCTGAACCACGTAACATACTCATCGTATTCGGACTCAATTTGATATGACCACTAGGGTCAGAATAACAACAATCTTCTTAGTCATTACCGAAACGATGGTAACTACATGCTTGAATAAAGCAGACTCAGTTATTGGCTTCTTGGTAACCTTGTGACTTTCCCTGATCCAAGCGTGAGTCATGTGCTTCCGGTAGTATATGCATCTACTACCTTTCACACCTACTCATACTCGTCCCAAGTATTCTCTCGCAGTTTTCCAAGTCACCATAAAGGAAAAATCACATAACAGTTTAACACATCAGATAACAAAACAAGGGCTTTATTATTTCTTGAAACTATTACATAGGTGTTCAAGTTCACCCTAGACTATGCCTCTAAGAGGATACATCATGTGGTTTTATCTATTAGGCTACCTCGTAACTCGATCTTCGGGTATAGATTCCTTATCCTTGGTTTCTCGCGTTGTTTTCCGCTTCGTCGAGGATCATGTGGAATGCCCTTGGCCTTGGTGGCGTTTCTGGTCTTGCTGCTTTATTTTTCCTCGGGCAGTCTCTGGACATGTGCCCCTTGCCTCCACATCCATAGCATACTTTATCATTATGTGTGCAATCCTTGGAATTGTGACCAGTCCTTCCACACTTGTAACAAGTCACTTCTTCGTTGCACTTCCCACAATGCTTATTCGCGCATTTATCACACCATCTCGCTTCACCTCCATTTCCTCCTCCAAGATTTGAGAATTTGGTTTCCTTGTTTGACCTTGAAGGTCCTTCAAACTTCCGCTTCTCTCCTACCTTATCTTTTTCTAGACCCTTTTCTCTTATCTGGGCCTCTACGTTCTTAGCTGCCCTAACAGCTGTTTTCAAGGTAGTTGCCATTTTGACCATTGGGCCAAAGTTTGTGGGTAATCCGTTAGCATACCTATCAATCTTGGAGAGTTCAGTAGGCACCAAGTAGGGGAATAGCTTCATCCTTTAGGTGAATGCAGTGGCATACTCATCAACACTCATCTTCCCTTTCTTCAGGTTCTGAAACTCGTTGTTTAGGTCTATCAGATCTATCTCTGAGCAGTACTGCATTTTCAACTGTTCCAAGAACTCTTTCCATGACATCCTTAAGGCTTCTCCTCGTGGCATCGTATCTTCCAATAGCTTCCACCAGCTCAAGACTCCAGTTTTTAGTTGTCTTACAGTGAAGACAGTTTTCTGTTTCTCGCTACAGTCGCAGCTCTCAAACACCATCTCCATCTCGGAGATCCAATCAATATCTCAACCGGCTTCGGGCTTCCTGAGAGACTCGGTGGTTTCACACCCAGGAAATTCTTGTACATTCGCCCATCCTTGTCGTTTCTCCCCTCCGGGCCTTCCCTTCGTTCGCCTTGAGTCCTCACTTGACTCGCTTGGCGGCTGTAGTTCCCTTCCTCAGATTGTTCGGGAATTGGCTCGGTTGGCTCAACATGTATGGTAGGTTCGTCCCTATTTTCATGGAAAATCTGTCTCATTTCTTCCCTTTGTTCAGCTAGCATAGCCCGAATCATGGCTTGAACTCCATCCATGGTGACTGGCTCAGGTGCAACTTCTTCTACAACAAGTATTTACTGAACCACTAGGGGTTGAGGGGGTTGGTTCCTATTTCCATTTGCGTTTACGTTTCCACTACGGGTCCTCGCCATCTTGATCTATACACTGAATAAGGTGAATCTAGATCCTTATTTAGGATTGACGTTTAAATCATCCTTATCACTCTGAAACGTTTATATACTAGTTCTAATATCATATTCGTACATTTAGAATCCTAAACACATAAGGTTTCCAGATCTGGTCGGCAACAGACCATAGCTTCGATCAAATTATAGCATAACAAATCATTTAACACATAAAAGCAATTTAGGCATCATTCCTAAATTAAGCTAGTGCTCACACCTCACAATCATTGCTTAGCATTCTAAGTTTAAGTCTAGAAATAAATCCATATTCCTAGTTCGCTTAAACTAATGCTCTGATATTAACTGTGACATCCCCATTTTCACGGCTAGAAAAGACCGATTTTGTTTATGCTTTATAAAAATCATAGTTCTTCTTTTAATAAAAATGTTGCGGAATTCGTTCCCAGAAAAACACGATAAATATGTTATTAAAACATTTTCGAAGAAATGTATTTTATTCATTTTAAAACGTTTGGGATGTCATCGTCAATACAGGAACATAAGCATAAACAGAACTTACATTTATTTACACTAGTGATCTACATCTCTTTAATCTCTCAGTGTAACGTGACTTCATATCAACACTTGTGATATAAATAAACTGAGTGGGTCAGGTTGGGAAACCTGGTGAGTACATAGGGTTTTCAACCCACAATAATATAAATATTATGTTTAAAAAATCAAACAATCAACCCAATTACCCATCCCCATTATCTTCTTTACTCTGAAGGATTTATCCTAAGAGTCATCTATTCTGCATTCGTTTATTCCAAAGTCCCTTACTTCCAGGGTTATAGGACTGGCACTAAATCCATAGCTGCCAATGTTCGTTCATAAAGCACTAATTCCATAGCTGCTATACTCTATTCATCGGGTACTAAATCCATAGCTACCAGTGTTTATGTAATAGGTACTAAGTCCATAGCTACCAATTCCGTAACAGGTACTAAATCCATAGCTACTGGTGTTTGTCCAATAGGCACTAAGTCCATAGCTACCGATGTTTATTAGTTAGGCACTAAGTCTATAGCTGCCAATGTTTACTCACATCATCTTTTATCTCTCATCATTCATCTACCCGTATCATACCCAACATATTCATGTATATAAAATACATATACAGTTTAAATCATCTAAAACATGCATAAAATCGTTCATCCAACATAGACAGCAAATATACAGATAATATGCACACATAGCACGTAGTTTATATAAAATACTTCATATCTATGTGTAAGATGAAAGTAACTATGCACTCACTTGAAAAGGTGGTGATTCCGAACTCAGACAGCGCTTCACTTCTTGAAAAAAAAAAAATTCCTTCGACGAAACCTAGTATTATTACCACTAGAGTTTAGTCTATTATTCACCGAGACAAATAAGTAGTCTAGCTATTATTACTATTATATAACCGTTAAATAATACTTATATAACACGTAATAATAGCCCAATTAGTTCTTATATGTTCTTAATAACGTTAATATAATTAAATAAAAACTATATTAAAAATAGCGTAGGCATAGCTCACTTATAGCGGGTTTTATAGAAAACCAGGCTTTGCTTGGAGCAGCATTCCCATGCGGAAAATCTCTTCTTCTTGGAGCCGTCAAGCACTTAGGGGCTTTCGCCATGTGCTAGGGAGGTTCCCTAGGCTTTTCGGAGGGTTTCGCGGCTAGAGAGAGGTTCTAGATAGAAGAAAGAATGAGAAAGATGTGAAGAAAATAAGGGTGCGAGAGGTTCTATTTATAGGGTGAAAATGGTTGAACTTGGTGCCACATGTCACCATCTAGTGGCAAGACTTGGGGAGAAAGCAATGGCCAAGATTGTGCCACATCACCTATTTTCGCACAACACACTTCCGACTTCTAAAATTCGTAACTTTCACATACGATCTCTGTTTTTGACGTTCTTTATATCCACACGTAGGTAAAAATAATATCTATAACTTTCATTTTGACTCCGTCGGCTAATTTTCGACCGATCTTAAATTTAATAGTACGAGGCGTTTAGACTGTTAAATGACCGCGAAGAATTCGTAACTCCTTCATACGGACTCTGTTTTCATCTGTCCTTTTACTATTAAGTTCCTATTAATGAGATCTTCAACTATCATTTAAGTCACGTAAGCCAAAAACCGCTCGAACTAAAATTTGAGTTTCGGGTCGTGCACTGCTAAGCCGAATCTTAGAAAAATCATAACTTCTTCATACGAAGTCAGATTTGGGCATTCTTTTTATGGATTTTCTCGGTTTAACTTATTATACGACTTTCATTTAGATCACTAAGGCTAAAAAGTCCTCCATCGTAAAATTACTATTTACGCTTCCCGGTGCCGTGTCGGTTACGTCGCGAAACTTCGACGGGTGATAACTTCTTCGTCATAACTCCGATTTCGACGCTCTTTATATGTACAGAAACCTTGTGACATATTCTACAACTTGTTAAGATTATTTATTCTAAATAATCTTTTGTTGAAAAGTCATTTTCAACCCCTATTACCTCTAAATTGACTAGCCCGGATCTACGGGCGTTATAATGAAGACAAAAACTACCTCTTGATTAGAACAATAACCACCATATTGTTGAGTGACTTCACAAATTGATACCTTAGTTGATCAAGCAATAAACCTAAGTTCCTACTTGCTTCAATTGATAAGTCACTAACATTATGTATGGGATCCCCTCTATGAAGCCATGTTATGTTAAATTCATCTGGCATCTCTACAACACACTCCTTTATAACTGAATCATTCAACCTCACTGTAATAAAAGGACAAATCAGTATTTTTTTGCTTTTTCCATAATAAATGTTATAAAAAATATTTAAAGCTCATCATGACCTTGTGGTTGTTCCATTTTCACTGCTTCTAATTTATCTTGTAGTTCCTGAAACATTCCATACAATCTTTCTCAGCTTATTCTTTTACAATAACAAGGGTATTTTTCGTCTTTTTAATAGCAAAATGGTGAAAACATGTATACCTTGAGTCTTCTTTCTTGACAAAGGGTTGAAGTAGTTAATAATGCAGAGTATCTGCAATTAAAATTTTTATTCACAATTCGCAATAAAAATAAATAAATAATCTTTTGTTTGGGGGGGGGGGGGGTTACTTGCAATGGCTAGGTTCATCTATATTAACAACATCAACTTTTGATCCACATCTTAATCTCACCTGTAAAATGTTGAGTAAATATCATATGTTCAAAGGGGCAATTCTGTAATTTTTAATTAATGTAAAGATTTAAATATTGAGATAGGTATAATTAAGCTTCTTTGAGGCCCAACATTTGTCACCATTTGAGAAGAGCATGACTCTGTATGACTCATGGTGAGCTTGGTGAACCAGTTGGGTGAACAGAGACTGGAGTGATTTTGAGATCATGGAAATTGAACTGTTTGTTGTCGATCATTGGTGGTTGATCAACTGGTTCAGAATCTAAACTCGGTATCTGTAATTCCAAAATCACTACTTGTTGTATACAAGGTTACATTGACTCCACCACCAGCAAACATGTTAAAATTTTACCTGGGAATGCCCCTTTTTTCAACATTTTTCATACATTTTTTAAGCGCCACTACTTTCCTTAATTTGATATTCTATTATTTATATAAACCAAAGTCGGTCTAAGGCTTTTCAAAGAAAAATTAATGTTGCACTTATCAACATAAAGCACTCGATACTTGGTTTAGTGATGACATTATTGGAAAAAGAAGTACCTGAGCCTCCAATTGTTTGACCTGCATCCCATCTGTATGAAAAAATCCAAACTTTATATTCAACACAAACTATAATTCCATGTACAAAGAATTCATTTAATTATGTAACAATCTAGCTTCAAGATGTTTTGAGCAACAAAAGTTTGATCTAATTTACCTGGTGATTGGTTCCTCACCAAGTAGTTAGGAAATAGATTGATGCAATGCCAACATTTCCGGCAGCATCATCAAGAAAAGAATAAAAATAATACAACATGAAATATTAGAAGTGAAGACATAAGTCTTTATCTTCTTATTCATTCCTTTATCTGTCCTAAATGAGAAAGTTATTTAAAATTGCGAATTTAGGATTTCTACATGATTGCAATTTTTTTAGTATGACCAAAGATACACACTAAAAACATACACTTAAGGGATAATGCATTCCCTGAATCTACATAACAAATGAGTGTAAATGTTGTATGTGAAAAGGGGTTTGGTTAACCATTTCATAAGAGATTATTCGGTTATCATCTTAAGATTATGCGTTTTAATACATGAGATGTTTCCTTATTCGGACTAATGTGTGTTCATCGTGGAGATATATGTTAGACACACAGAGAATTAGCTAATTACCTGCATAGTCTCTGGTGAAGTCAGTTGGCTTTTACTAGTGAAGACAGGGTTTTGCGTTATCTCTCTGTATTGGGGATTGAGTATATGTGAAATTGTACCAGGCATGTTAGCAAAGTAAACCCTAACAAACAAATAAATCTAAAGATAATGAAAAAAGAAGCAGCCAAAAACCGGATTCGTGTTTTGTGGGTTTGAAAGTAGACGTTGAATGAAGTGTGCAATAGATGTTTCCTTAATTCGATATCGCTTCACCTCGAGGTCCTCAACTTCCTGATTTGATTTGGGAGACATGTATTCAAAAAGAGATGACGAAGAATTAGTCGAATGGGAAGGAGGATGAGCGGATATCCTTGTTCTTCCTGAAGACGTTGATAGCCCTAGTTCTTCGGTCCGCCCTTGTGAGGTCGGGAGCATAAAAGCCCTAGTTGTTCCTTGATATCGGGGAAAAAAACCTTAAAATCATCGACGTTGTGAGTGTGAGGGGTCGTAGATCTTCAATCGTTGGCTCTATGAAAGATTTTGTGAGGTCTGATTTTTGGGTAAGGTGGGGTTGGGAATCGCTAATTTGATGTTACAGAAGGGATATAGCGGTGTTGGTGCTGAAGGGTCGCATGAAAATGGAGGTGGGGTGACTCCGTTGAGACAATGATCGTTATCATCGCCGTCGCGAGGCATTTGATCATGAAAGCAAGAGCAATTCTGGTATGAAGATGAAGGCCTAGAGTTTTTCTTGCTAATTGGAAGAGGCGGGGGGTTTAATTTTTGGGATTCAATAGGCGGGTGAAATCCCGCCTTAAAAACGTGTGTTTCATTAAAATGTTATAAAGAGACACATTTAGACGATGCACATTTTATGAAAGGCGCCCTCCGTGTTTCCTTTTTTTTCTGATACTACTTTTAGGGCACGTACAAATGTGTGTTCTCTATCCTTCAAATTTTGCAAAGCTAACATTATTTTTTAGGGCACGGACAAATGCGCGTCCTCTATCAGCGAGTGTCATTGTTTGCGCATCAATAAAGGGTTGTTTTCTTGTAGTGACTTGTGCTACATATGCAGTTTACCTGTGATCCATGAACTTATTCGCATAGCTTGGCGTGTTTTGCCGCCTCGGTCGGGGGTGTGACAGATTGGAACATAGCTAAATTGGCTATCAAGAACTCTTATCCTCGAAAGAGGAATACAACTATAGCAACTAGCTTCAAATAAAAGTATTATTAATATTAATTAAACTAATTCTTGGTTACTTACAGTACGGGGAAATCAGGTTTGAAGGACCGCATAGAGTTGTTGGATTTCAAAAACAGCTTAATTGCTAAAATTATCCTGCCCTACAGTGTTTCCTGTCTGGCCCTCATCTGTACTTGGTAGCCTTGGAGTACAAAAAAAAAAAATAATACTGCTAATCCCAGCAACAATAATATATAAGATTTATATATACTCTGACCCACGATGAGAACATTTAATAAAACTCTAACATACCTGTAACAAAAACTACCAACTCAACCCTTTAGGTCAAACGCCTCAATTAAGGTTAGTATTGTACATAATCCATACCATAAATAAGCTTGGAATGTACGCCTATGTTATTTATGGTCGGACCGGTGCACAACAAACCTTAAGCAAGGAGTTTGACAGACTATGATGGTTGAAAGTCTTAGAGATTGAAGGATGTTCTCAAGATTCGCTGCAGAAACCTAGTACCTTAGAAACCATATATAAATTCCAAAGCAATGTATACATTTTAAAAATACTTAAAAATATGAGATAATATTCATATTTTCCTAGTTTGTCTAAACCCAGAGAAGAACAAAGAACGAATAGCTTCGTTGTCATCGTAGTAGAGAAACCCATAGTTCCCAATCAATCATTCAGTAGTCTCCAAACTTCTCTCTATATCATCTAGAATCGGTAGGATTTCGATTCTCTCTCTATCATTTAGAAATTTGTAGGATTTCTGGACCGATCACTCTCTATAATTTGGACCTTACCATGAAAGGATTGGCGGTGACTGCTTACACCTCCCAATTTAACAACCTCGCAAACATTTGCCAGCGGATGGTGAACCCGGAATACAAAAATACCAAAATGTACATCTAGGGATAAGCTTCACTAGTTCAAGGTTTTTTTATTTCATCCAAACCCAATACCTTTGATAATGCAAATCAAATGGCCTATTAATTGACGGAGCAGTATATTCGTAAGGATTCCATGACCCGATAAACAGAAAATAACCAGGATAAGAGTACAAAAAAGAAGTTCCATGACAAGTCAAAGGATAACTTAAAACATCACAAACCCAATCCAAAACCTATTGCTATGTACGCCATAATCACAACACTCTCACTCCATCAAAGCCATACTCTAGGACTTTACCTCACTATACCAGGTGCAATTTCCACCAAGTCGGAAATGGTATAACCTGCAGCATCTGTAACTTGAGAGGTCAAACATCTAAGTACTATAGAAAGGCCCTAAACAACACAACCTCAACCATTGTTGCAGGAAGAAGCCAAAGTTGCTTCAAATTCAATCAACCAGAAAATTTCAAGAAAGACTCCCTGAAACTAATGAACCAGGATGGCAAAGGAAGAGCTTTCGTGATAGGTACCAGAAATGCTCTCCATGAACCAACTGTGGTCACTATTACGTTTATTATCAATAATATTTATGCTTCAACATTATTTTATATTGGTGCTGATGGAAGCTTTATTTCTTATAAGTTTAGAAGCATGATTAACCTTAAAGCATGCGAACTTAACGAAGCTTACACTGTAGAAGTAGCAAAAAACCAGTTAGAAAGCCCCTTATTAGATTCCTTCTCACCCGAATAACGATGTCTTTCATGTCAACCTAATACCTATGACCATTGGAAGTTTCGATGTGATCATCAGAATGGATTAGTTATCACTTCAGCGAGCAGAGATATTATGTTATGAAAAAAATCCATCTGACTAGCTTTACCAAACAATGAAGCTCTCAAGAATTATAGAGATAAATCTGGAAAAAAAATCTAAAAATCATCTCTTGATGAAGGCATGAAGGTGTTTGTAGAAGAAATGTTTCACTTTCCTGGACCACATGGTGGATATTCAAGACGAGGGCAAAGGAATAAAAGACATACCGTAGGTGTGCGACTACACTAACATCTTTCCAGAAGAGTTGCCTTGGTACCTCTGGTCAGAAAGGTTAAATTCTGAATCGACCTAATCTCTAGTACAACACCAGTGGTAAGATCTCCTTATCATTTGGCTCCATCGGAAATGCAATAACTATCCAGTCAACTCCAATAACTTCTTGACAAAGAATTTATCCGGCCAAGCTTCTCTCCATGAGAAGTTCTAGTATTGTTGTTAAATAGAAGGATGGATCATTCAAGATATGTGTCGACTATCGAGAGTTGAAAGAACTCATCACCAAGAACTGATATCCACTCCCGAGGATCGATGACATGTTCAACCAACTACAGGGATAGTGTTACTACTCAAAGATCGATCTAAGATTCGACTAACACCAACTCAGCATGCAAGAAGTAGACATTCCAAAGACAACATTTAGGACTCAATATAGTTACTACAAGTTTCGGGTTATGCGATTTGGACTAACCAATGACACCAAACGAAGTACGCCAATTCCTAGGGCTTGCATGCTATTAGAGGATATTCATTAAGAACTTCTCCAAAATAGCCAAGCCTCATATCGCTCTAACCTGGAAGGAAAATAAGTTCGATTGGGCAGATAGAAAAGACTCTGCCTTCCATAAATTGAAACTATTATTGTGCATTGCACCAATTTTGTCTCCTCCAGAATGAACAAAAAACTTTTTAGTATTCTGCAACGCCTCCCACCAAAGGTTAGGATGCATACTGAAGCAAAGGAATAAATTCATTGCATATGCATCCAGACAACTCAAGCCAAGCAAGACCAACTACACTACCCACGACATAGAGTTGGAGTAGTAGTGTTTTAACGATTTGAAGATACTACCTCTACGTAACAAAGTGCGACGTGTTCACCTACCACAAAAGCCTTCAACACATCTTCAACTAGAAAGAGATCAACATGAGACCTCGAAGATGGGTAGAATTGCTAAATGATTACGAATGTCAAATTCATTATCATCCTAGAAAAGCAAATGTTGTGGCAGATGCTTTAAGAAGGAAAGAGCAAGCAAAGCCTCTTCGTGCAAAGGCTGTAACCCTAACCATCTACTCGAACCTCACCATTAAAATTCATGATACCCAACGAGAAGCACTCAAACCTGAGAAAATCGTGGAAGAAAACCTTTGAGGAATGGATAAACAGTTCGACCTCAAGGAAGACAGAACACGATATTTCATAAACCGAATTTGGACCCCAAAGTTTGGTGAAGTTAGGAGTTTAATTCTAGAAGAATCTTTAAGGTCACGAGATTCAATACATCCCAGATCAGATAAGATGTATCTTGATCTCAAGAAGATTTATTATTGGGCCAACATGAAAGAAGAGATTGCCATCCATGTCAGTAAATTCTTGCCATGTTCCAAAGTGAAACCAGAGTACCAGAAGCCATTTGGTCTACTACAACAAATGTCAATACCGGAATGGACATGGGAATAGATAAGCATGGACTTCATAATGAAGTTTTCAAGAACTTCAAGCGGTTATGACACCATTTGAGTAATGGTTAACATTTTGACCAAGTTTGCCCATTTCCTAGCCATCAAAGAAACCGACAAGATGGAGAAACTCACCAGGACCTATTTCAAGGAAATACCTATACTACATGGTGTCCCAATATCTATTATCTTGGACCGAGATAGCAGATTCACATCCAGATTTTGGCAATCATTGCAAAGGTTCCTAGGAACCAAACTCGACGTGACTCCAACATATAATCCATAGATAGATGACCAAGGAAAAATAAAGATACAAACATTGGAAAACATGCCCCATTCTTGGGTGATAAACTTCAGTAATTCATGGGATACCCACTCACCGTTAGTTAAGTTTTCATATTAATAATTATCACACTAGCATAAAGGTCGATCCATTCAGGGCCTTGTACGGACGTAAATGTCTTTCTCTTATATGTTGTGCAGAATTTGGAGATATACAATTAGTTGCAAAGCATATTGGAGATTCTTTAGACACTGATCCTGAGAACATTCATGCGACAACGGAAAAGATAAAGAATGATTAAAATATTGTACATAGCTGTCATAAAAGTAATGCATGACATGAGACATAAACCCTTAGAATTCAAAATAAGAGTCTGTGTCCTACTAAAGGTCGCAGTATGGAAAGGTGTCATTAGATTTAGAAAAACGTGGTAAACTAAACCACCGCTACATCAGACCTATTGAAATCCTAGCAAGGGTTGGTCCGGTGGCTTACAAACTTATTTCACCTCAAGAACTAAATAAAGTTCGCAATACCTTCCACTTGTGTAATCCTAAGAAGTGTCTCTCTAATGAGAACCTTGTCTTTCCTCTTGATTAGATACATGTCAACACTAAAATTCACTTCATGAAGGAACTGGTGGAGATCATGGATCCAAAAACCAAAAGCCTTAAACAAAGTTGCATACCTATAGTAAAGGTCCTATAGAACTCACGTAGAGATCCGGAGTTTACTTGGAAATGTGAGAATCAAAAGAAACAAATATCCACAATTTTTCAATGGTGCTCCCTCCACT